CCCCTCACACACGCACACACAACCAGGTGCCCGACACGCGCAAGAGGATGGAAAACGCCTTCACCTCCCGCTGCATCGACACGAACACGCCCATCATTGAGGAGCTCGTCCGTCTCCGCCACGAGAAAGCGCAAGTGAGACGCAACGGCTGTGACGACGCAGCTGCCATGCATCCATCGCTGTTGCTGCTGCTGTTGCTGGCTAGTGCTTGGACTCTTTAGCGTGGCGTCACACTCACCCCTTTCCTATTTCTTCTTCTCCGTCTTCATCTTGACGACAGCTGCTCGGGTACAAAACACACGCGCATTTCATCACGGAGGAGCGGATGGCGAAGACGCCTGAAACCGTTGTGGAGTTTCTCAAGGACCTCGGAAACAGGCTCACCCCGCTGCAGGTCGGTGGGCGGGGTGTGTCTGTGTGTGTGTGTCTGTGTGTGTGTGTCTGTGTGTCTGTGTGTGTGTGTCTGTGTGTGTCTGTGTGTGTGTGTGTGTGTGTGTGTGTGCGTGGGTCTGTGTGTGCGTGGGTCTGTGTGGCTGTGCCTGTGTGTGTGTGTGTGTGTGTGTGTGTGTGTGTGTGTGTGTGTGTGCGTGTGTGTCTGTGGAGACTCTCTGGCTGTATAGGTCTGTTGTGTTTGTGGACACCAACCCACCCACGCGCTGGTATTCACCAATGTTACCCGATACTCTTCGTTTGGGAAACCATGATGTAGGACAAAGAGCTGAAGAAGAACAAGGCTCTAAAAGGGAAGCAGAGAGAACGCCGCCTCAGACAAGCCCCTACACGCGCGAGACATCAAGCACACGTGCCCCTATTAGAGTTGCGGTACTAATGAGACATCAGTTAGGGATCATCCAAAATCTACGCCTAACACACCCGATTTTGCATAGATTAGAGCACTGAGAGGACTAAAGGGACGATTAGCATACCAAGCATAGTCGGCCCATTGGTACTGATGTAGGAGACATTATCACCCCATCATCAAAAGTATACGCCCTTGTCTTTACTTTATTATCATGGGAGACGCGTCGAGTCTACTTATTCTTGCACAGGTGTGTCGTCGTGTGTGTGTGTGTGTGTGTGTGTGTGTGTGTGTGTGTGTGTGTGCCTGTGTGCCTGTGGTGACTCTCTGGCTGTATAGGTCTGTTTGTGTTTGTGTACGCGCCCGCCCACGCGCTGGTATTCACCAATGTTACCCGTACTCTTCGTTTGTGGAAACCATGATGTAGGACAAAGAGCTCGAGACGATCAAGGCGCTGAAACGGGAGCAAGAGAGCATCGCCGCCTCTGACGACGTCGCCCTCAACCCGTGGGACATCAGCTTCTACCTCAACAAGGTGCGATTGTTGAACCATCACCAACACACACCCTCACACATGCACACAGCCTCCATCCTGTCCACAAACGCCGCTGCAGGCTCCCCGACCACTACTTGCTCCTCACTCTTGCGCGTTTGTGTGTGTGTGTGTGTGTTGTTTGTTGTTATTGTTGTTGTTGTTGTTGTTGTTGTTGTTTGTTTGTTGTTGTTTGTTTGTTTGTTGTTGTTGTTGTTTGTTTGTTTGTTATTGTTGTTTGTTTGTTTGTTTGTTTGTTTGTTTGTTTGTTTGTTTGTTTGTTTGTTTGTTTGTTTGTTTGTTTGTTTGTTTGTTCTCAGGTGGAGAAAGAGCAGTTTCAGGTTGACCACCAGAAGATCAAGGAATACTTCCCCCTCGACACGGTGACCAAAGGCCTGATGGCCATCTACGAGGACGTGCTGTCACTGCGCATTGAGGAGACAGCGGCGCTCGAGAAGTGGCACGACGAGGACATGACATTCAAGGTGGCGCAAGCGTGCGTGCATGTGTGTGCCGTCTGTGTGCTGGTGCATAACTGTGTGTGTGTGTGTGTGTGTGTGTGTGTGTGTGTGTGTGTGTGCGTGCGTGTGGTTACCTGTGTATGTCTCCTTGTTCTCCTTGTGCGTGTATGCGCATCTCTCTTCCTCTGCTTCTGGTGCCTCTCTGTGTTTGTATCTGCAGCAGGGAGACTATTTTGCAGTGTAAACTCAGCAGTCAACAGCTGCCCGCTCGCATGTACACTGGATTCACGTCTTTCTCGTTACGTATCAACCGTGTTCGTGTGTGTATGCTTCCTGTTTGTCCCGTCCCGCCGCCAATGGTGCAGGTGAGCGACAAGGAGAGCGGGAAGCTGCTCGGGTATTTCCACCTCGACCTGCACCCGCGCGAAGGGAAATACTCCCACGCCGCGTGCTGGGGCCTCCAGCCGTCCTGCGCCACAGCCGATGGTGAGCACGCGAAGCAAGCAAGCGTTGTCGTTCATTTCTGTGTGCACCATTGCTCCCCTGGTGCACATGCACGTCATTGCTCTCCTGCAGAGTGCTTGCCCTGCGTAGATGTATCCTCACACGCTTTAACACTTGCGTATACTAATCGCATCCTCAACCCAATCGCATGGTACAGGTGGTCGCCTTGTCCCCGTTGCGGCACTGCTGTGCAACTTCAGCCGCCCAACGGACAGCGCCCCGGCCCTCCTCCTCCACGACGAGGTTGAAACGTTCTTCCACGAGTTTGGGCACGGCATGCACCAGCTCTGCTCCCTCGCGCAGCTCGCCATCTTTGCCGGCACCAAGGTCGAGCGCGATTTCGTCGAGCTCCCGTCACAGGTAACCAACAAGGGTGGGCGGGTGAAGGCCTGCGCTTGCTTTCTGTGCTTGGCCAGGAAGGGCGCTTTCTTGTCTGTCTGTCTGTCTGTCTGGTTGTTTTCCCTATCATTCTCTCTCCCTCTCCAGCTATTTGTCTGTGTGCAGATCACGCTGGCTGTTGTGCCTTCAGCCGTCTGTCTCATCTTGTTTTCTCCTTGCCCATCCTGGTGCAGATGCTTGAGAATTGGGTGTGGGAGAAGGACGCCCTCCTGCGCATGTCCGCCCACTACCAGACTGGCGAGAAGCTCCCAGGTCAGCCGCGCATTTAAGGATGCATGAGCTGCTCGTGTGGTTCGCTCTGCATCTTCCCCATTCACCCACGCGCTTGTACACACTGCCGCTCAAACAGATGAGCTGATCTCGGCGCTGATCAAGTCGCGTGTTGCAAATGCGGGCATCCTCACGAAGCGGCAGATCCTGTACGCCACCTTCGACCAGACCATTCACTCCCAACCAGAGGTAGCCGTGTGTGTGTGTGTGTGTGTGTGTGTGTGTGTGTGTGTGTGTGTGCGTGCGTGTGTATGTGCGTGTGTGTGTGTGTGCGTGTGTGCGTGTGTGCGTGTGTATGTGCGTGTGTGTGTGTGTGCCTCAACGTGTGGTTGAACGCATGGATGTCTCGGGTCTCGTGCCACGCCTCTTTCCCACGCCTTTCGTTGCTTCGCCTCCCGCGTGTGTGAACAGGTAAACACGGCCGAGCTGTTTGCGGAGCTGTGCACTGAGATTTGCCGCTACCCCGCCAGCCCCAACACCAACTTTGCAGCCTCCTTCGGGCACCTTGCCGGCGGCTACGATGCGCAGGTCAGGCATGCGACCGCTCGCCCCTCAAAGGACCAACCAGTGGGTGGTTGGGCTGTGTCACGGTGCACAACCTTCGTGCTCTCACTTGACCCTTTTGCGTACTGGCATGTGCAATGCTAATGCTACCCACAACACGTGCAGTACTACGGCTATCTGTGGAGCGAGGTGTTCTCTGCGGACGTGTACGAGACGAGATTCAAGGGTCACATCTTCGACACCGCCATTGGTCGCGAATACCGTGAGAAGGTGTGTGTGTGTGTGTGTGTGTGTGTGTGTGTGTGTGTGTGTGTGTGTGTGTGTGTGTGTGCTTGTGAGACTGCGCGCGCGCGCGTGTGTGTGTGTGTGTGTGTGTGTGTGTGTGTTTGTGTGTGTGTGCATGGAAATAAATGCGTTGAGATGACACGATGTCAGGCAGGCTGTGTGTGTGTGTGTGTGTGAAGCACAGCAGTGCTGCAGACAAAGCAACAAGAGAGAGAGGAGATGAGCCAACACACGCCACCACCTCTTCTCCCCACGAAGTGGAAGCAAGCAAGTCAGCAAGCAAAGAAGAAGAACAAGAAGTAAACCGAACCAAGCAACAAGCCAAACCAAGAGGGAAGAGGGAGACAGTACCACAGCAACCAGCGCAGCACAGCAGGCCCATATGGGAGAGAGAAAAAAAAAGGAAGAGAGCAACATCACCCGTGATTCCCGCCTGGTCACCCACGGCAGTACTGAACGGGCCCAAATGGGCTTAGCTTCCGCGATCGGACGAGAGCGGGCGTGATCCCGTTGGTATGAACGTTGCCGACAGAAGAGCAAGACAAGCCATTTATCAAGGCAGAGCCAGCAAGCCAGCAAGCAAGAACAAGAGGAGGAAGAGGAAAATCGCACACACACCAAAAAACCACCAGTCCACCCTCCACGCTTGTTGCTGCTTCTTTCTGCTGTCGCCACACAGAGGGCCCTTGAGCCAGCAGCTGTCACCCCCTCCCCCTCCACCAATCACCGCTGCTCCGGTGGGATGAACAGACGGGCGTTGCCATGTGATGACCATCCAGCCACGCTTGTGCGGCCGTGGAAGCTGCAACACCAACACACACCACAAACAAGCAAGCGGTGAGCAACGTGAGTGCATCACTGCATGTGTGTTGATGTGGTGAGCACAGCACCAGTGTGCGTGTTTTGTGGTCGCTGACTCTGCTGCTCCTGTCTCCCCTTGTTGTCCCACATCAATGTGCATGCATGTGTGTGGTGTGGCTGCCTGTTTTGCTTTGCGTGATGCGCTGTCTCACTCGTCGTTCTCACACACAACCGCCTGCACCCCTGCGCATTCTCCACCTTGCAGCTGCTGCTTATCTTCCCCTCTCTTTCTCGCCCTCCCTGGCGGCCATCACAACAACAACAGCAGCAGCAGCCAACACACCCTCCACCGCCGATGCAGCAGCAGCAGTAGCAGCACCAGCACCACCATCACTTGCTGCTGAACACATTCCCCAACTACCCAACCAACCAACCAGCCCATCGCCCGCTGCTGCTGACGGAAGCTGGTTGTTTGCAGCTGGGAACAGGTCGCGACAGCACAAGTTGCATTTCGGCGGGCAGCAGCAAGCAGAGGTGAGTGCTGGAAGAGAGGGAAAAGGAGAGGAGATGTGTGTTGAATGGATGGATGGATGGGATGAGGTGGGGTGGGGGATGCTGGGTGAGTGTGGTGTGGTGTGGTGTGGTGTGGCTGGCTGATGACAGAGGATGATGGTGTGTGGTGTGAGGAAGAGGGATGGATGGAGCATGTCTTGTTCCTTCCCTCTGTTTTCAGTTTTCTCTCTTCCCTTTCTCCTCCTTCACACACATGCATGCACAACATCTGCAGCAGTGGCAGCAGCAGTGTGACTGCGCACATATCCATACTCCCTCTTTCCCTCCCACTCACTCACCATGCTGGTGCTCGCACACAAACACACTTGCAGGTGATGCACACGCACAGACAGCAGGATGAGGGAAATGTCGAGGATACTTGCCACGCGTGCCAGCTGCACTCGTATCACACATGGTATGTGGGTGGTGATGGGAGGTTGGTGATGAGTGGTTGGTGGTGTGTGTGATGGGATGTGGTGGCGGTGATGGGGTGCGGTGAAGTGAACAAGGGAAGAAGGTTGATGGGGGATGATGGTCGCACACACTGACACACACACGCACACACACACACACACGTGTTGCGTGTGATGTCAATCACTTCTTCTGCTGTGCTGACATGATGGCTTGCTCTGTGCCTGTTGTGTTCTGTTCCCATCCACGTTCCCTGCAACCACACACACACACACATATGCACAGGTGGTGAGGTACCAGCACACATCAGGATGGTAATGATGGAAGCGGGCTCGCATGCCGACTGCTGCTGCTGCAACTTCCCCGATTCAGCTGCCGCTGCTGTGCTCATGCAGTGTTCCCATGTGCTTGAGCGAGGTGAGCCCATCATGCATGCTTTGGTTGCCACATGGTGCATGTGTTGGTGTTGTTGCTGCTGTGGGTGTTTGGTGTTGCTGCTGCTGTGCCTCGTGCACCAGTGTAGCTGTGCAGCTCACATGCAAAGTGTGTGTGTGTGTGTGTGGATGTGTATGCAGGGGATGGCTGCCTGAGGATCGTTGGAGGATGATGGGCGGGTGCACACATGATGGGTTGGGAGAAGCAGCTGTGGACACACACGTCCATGGTCATGGTGGACACATCTAACCACAGCGACGCAGTCATGTGCAGCAGGTGTGTGTGTGTGTGTGTGTGTGTGTGTCGTGGGCGAGGAGGAGGAAAGCAGAGGAGGGAATAGGAAGGTGAACACGCCTGCTGTGCTCACATGCCATTTCTGTACCTTGTGTGTGATGATGTCGTTGTGTCTTGTCGTTGTGTGTTGGTTACATGGGCACCAGGGCAACATCAGAGGAGGGGAAAGCAGCCGCCATGAACGACCCATCATCATCAACCTTCCCCATTTCTCTCTCCTTTCTCTCTCTTCCACCTCAGCTCCGCTATCATCACCATCGCCATCGACTGCACAGCCGCCATCACACTCCGGCCGACGCCAGCCCCAATCTGGCGTGAGGCAGACATTGCACGTGTCAGCCGCTCTGATGAAGAGGTGAGCATGTGTGTGTGTGTGTGTGTGTGTGTGTGTGTGTGTGTGTGTGTGTGTCGTGGTGGTGAGTGGGGACAACATGTGTGCGTGTGGTTGTGTGTCAGTGTGGGTGGTTGAAATGGGGCTGGCGTGTGGTTGATGATGCGTCGCTGTCAACCTCATCCCCTGCATTCTCTCCCATCTTGTGTCTGTGCACACACATTTCACAGCGTTGAGGAGGTGTGTGTGTGTGTGTGTGTGTGCGTGTGCGTGTCTGTGTGTGTGTGTGTGTGTGTGTGTGTGTGTGTGTGTGTGTGTGTGTTTGTGTGTGCATGGTTCATGCCAACACCACCTGCACCATGGCGTCTTCCTGGCCCACCGTGCTCCAGATGGTGTGCGGCACACTGCTGTTTGCTCAAGGCGCCCCCTCGACACGTGCCTGTGCAAGGCTTAGCGCATCAGCTCAGGCACGCAGCTGGTGTTCAGCAAAGAGGGCGGGCGGGGTCTGCCTCGACTACTCCCGGACCCAAGCATGCAGGCTGAGACATTGCCATGCCGGACCTCCGGCAGCCTTCATCCAGAACGCACGAAGCACGGCAGCCCAGAGCAGACACCATTGTGCTCGAAAACGCCACCACAACCACAAACGTGCGCGACCTCACCACATTCACGTGCAGACACATCAACGCGACCCTTTTTGTTGGCCTCCGTGACCCGTTGCTGTTGTTCTTCTCCTTGTTGGTGACCTGCTTCTTTTTCTTCCCGCTTGTGCGCGTTCGCCCTTGTCGGTGCGCGGGGTCCGGGCTTGCTCCTTCGGGGCACGTTCACAGACACCCTGCCTTCTCTTCTCCTCTGCTCACAGCACCTTCTCTTCTCCACTCTCTTCTCTCTCCTCTCCTTCTTGCTTCTCCCCATGAGATTC